GGGGTGGGGAGAGGGAAAATAATTGCGATCATATAAAATGCAATCTGAACAACATTTTTCATGAAGGCAAAGGGCGCTTGCCACCGGAGAGAGGGCACTTTTTGTGTTTTCTGAAAACTCCCCCCCGGTTCCTACGCCCCTGGTGTGGTTGTTCTCACAGGATTTTCTGAAAAATTCAAAAAATTGGGTTTCAGTGATATATGGGGCGGGAAGAATAACATCCTAAATAGCACACCAAAAAAGTGAATTGAAAGGCCAAAGTGGTTCTATATTTTAAGGGATTACGTTTATGAAGGTAACTGTCAAGGGGGTTCATATACTAAATGGAGCATAACTAGCATGTTTACAAAGATGTATTTCTCTTTCGCATAAACACTTCGGTCACAGTACGTATATGTAACCTTTACAAATTAGATTTCAATTGACTTTTAAAATCTATATGAGAATGGTTAACAATATTTTCTCCTTTATATACTTTTTAATAGGTTTTGCCAGGACTACAAGTACAACAGCAAAAATCTCTTCCAAATATTGAGCCAGATGAACTGGAAAATCCTTCACCATGTATTGGCTCTGGAAGCTTTGGGCAGTGTCGTACATGGTACTATCCACGGTTTGATATAAACATTGTTGAGAAGATTATGCCAGATTCAAATGAGACCACGGTTTATAAAGAAGCACTGTATCAGCAAATGTTTGCCCATAGATGTGTGCCTCATGTTTTTGGAATAAACAATACAAGGAAGCCATATTCCTTATTTATGGAGTTTGTTGGAAAGGACCTTCAATCATTGACAATACACAAACTGTTGTATGACAAACAATCCATGGATATTATGGGAAGTATGACAGTGCCAGATTGGTTCAGAGTCTGTTATGACATTGCTAATGCATTACAATACATCCATGAAAAGGGATTCCTCCATTGTGATATCAAAACAAACAATGTTCTTGTGTCCCATCACAAAAATGGGTATTTAATTGACTTTGGGAAGGTCAAACAAATTGCATATGCATCAGGAAAGAAATATGCAAAGGTTTACAATTATATTGCCCCCGAAGTCCTGAATAGTCATCCACCAAGTCCTGCAAGTGATGTATATTCGTTTGGAATCATTATAAAGGCCATCGGGGAAACCATTGGAGATAACACACTGCTTGAACTTGGACAACAGTCATCATCTGCAATTCCTGCACAAAGGCCAAGCATGATACGACTTCTGTCAGCCTTAAATCCATATACATATACAGGCAACACACTTGATAAAGGACAGAAAAAAAACTAAGATTAATTAACCTATTTACAGGACATACCTACCAACGGCAAGTTAAATTATCTGGCATTAGACAGAGTAAAATATTAAAGTGGGGTGCATTTGGGCACATTTCCAGCTAATGGTCATTAATTAACACGAGAAATGGGCAGATAGTTTTGTTGACACATTAACTAACTGGCAGGACCATACTGTACCATTGACAAGTAAAATTGTGAGGCGTTAGAGTGTTAGACAGTAAAATACTAAAGCTGGGCACATTGCCAGCAAATGGGTTACACTAAGTAACTTAAAATTAACGAATTAAAAGTTTCAAACTAATTCATTAATGGTTGCAACATAATAAAACAAGAATTTCTAAGTTAACAAGATTTCACATTCTAAACACCTCTTGGTAATCAGGTCAAGTTTGCCATAATGATTACTTACAGTGAGCTATATAAGTATAAACCCATAACTATGTGCAGAGCAAGAACTTCTAAGTTGTCAAGATACAATGTGTCTTTGGGCAACTGATTGTCAAGATATTCTTGTCTTTCGGCAGTCAGTTCAAGCTTTGCAACATGGTAAAAATGCATAATTACGGTAAGCTAGTATAAACTATGAACCCATAACCAACATTTTAATCTATGTGCAGAGTAAGAACTTCTAAGTTGTCAAGATACAGTGTGTCTTTGGGCAACTGATTGTCAAGATATTCTTGTCTTTCGGCAGTCAGTTCAAGCTTTGCAACATGGTAAAAATGCATAATTACACTAAGCTAGTATAAACTATGAACCCATAACCAACATTTTAATCTATGTGCAGAGTAAGAACTTCTAAGTTGTCAAGATACAGTGTGTCTTTGGGCAACTGATTGTCAAGATATTCTCGTCTTTCGGCAGTCAGTTCAAGCTTTGCAACATGGTAAAAATGCATAATTACAGTAAGCTAGTATAAACTATGAACCCATAACCAACATTTTAATCTATGTGCAGAGTAAGAACTTCTAAGTTGTCAAGATACAGTGTGTCTTTGGGCAACTGATTGTCAAGATATTCTCGTCTTTCGGCAGTCAGTTCAAGCTTTGCAACATGGTAAAAATGCATAATTACAGTAAGCTAGTATAAACTATGAACCCATAACCAACATTTTAATCTATGTGCAGAGTAAGGACTTCTAAGTTGTCAAGATACAGTGTGTCTTTGGGCAACTGATTGTCAAGATATTCTTGTCTTTCGGCAGTCAGTTCAAGCTTTGCAACATGGTAAAAATGCATAATTACAGTAAGCTAGTATAAACTATAAACCCATAACCAACATTTTAATCTACATAGTCTATGTGCAGAGTAAGAACTTCCAAGTTGTCAACTTGAAGATACAGTGTGTCTTCACATTAATACAGTATATAAATTAATAACCAAAGCCAACAGTTACCAAATAATTGCTTGATCCTGTATATTCGAACAGAACTCTAAGTGTTTTGTAGTAATGTAAATATATTAATACTCTCATCACATTTGTTTGAATAAATATTTTGAACGTTGTGGGGGTTTTTGTCCCCATTTGTGTCGTTTGATGCTTTTTACATTTTGGTGGCAAAAGGGACGTAATGTACATGTGTCAATCTAACATTTTTATATAAAATATACAAGCAGAAAGGCGAGATTTTATATAGAATCTGAAAGCCAGTCACTACGAAAACCCATGCTTGGGTTTACTACATGCAAATTCACAAATTATTTCGATTTTAGTCTATGACTACAATATAGAATACTACAAATGCTTACCTTTTTATATATCAAGTGAAGTTTACCTCTTGAAAATCTTTATTCTTAAAAGGGAAGTCAAGTCCGTAATGTAAACAAACGGTTTGTTTACATTTTTAACTGCTGTATTTTTTAAAATATGATGTACTGTCTGAATATCTAACACCATTTTGGTTCGTTATGCTTCTACATGAATATGAAATAGAGTTTGTGTTCAGAAAAATTCGAAACATTCAAAATTTGGGCAATGTTTACCTCAGAGGGCCCTCTATTGTTATGCGCAGAACCGATGCGCAGAACGGACTTGACTTCCCCTTTAAAGTTAAACCTCGAGTTAAACAATAAATGAATAAAAGCAGTCGTACCCTTTCTGCTCTCTGCACGTAATACAACAACCGCAAAAAAAGTCGCAGAATTGTCGTGCACGCGCGAATTAACCTGGGGCGAGTGGGAAAGTGGAGACATGCATTAATCTACTTGAGTTAAGAGGGATATCCCTATGTATAGCAAGCCTTTTTTAAGGTACTATCACTGTTTGAATCACTCAAACCTGATGCTGATTGCTAAGTAAGTGCACAAGGGTTTGTTTTGAAAAATGCATTAATAAAACCAAGTCAGTATGGTGTTAAGCCTCAAAAACTGAAAACAATAGACTTCGCATAGACCCTCGACCCTTCCTGCAAGGGGTGCAAACAATAAAATTGCCTATAGGTAAATTTGCAAGGGATGCAATTATGCAAACACAATGGTGAAAACAATTAACAATATATTCAAGGTGGCATCCTTAACCTTGCTACTTGCACATAGTGCAAATTAAGGCTATAAAATGATTGATTAATAGAAATTAATGTAACAATATTTTATCTGAGAATCGACAGGGATTATTTTGATCAGCGTATGTCTTTAGTTTGACAGAGTGCAAAAGAAACATTCCGTATATTTTGGCAACTTCTTTCGGATCTTGGCCAAATATGGAAATAACGTTCCTTCTCCAGAAACGCGAACCAAGAACTACTTGCCAATGTCTACACTCTACAACAGTCAAAATAAGATCGATATTTTTAAATATGCACATATATTAATAAATTGCGACAATTTGATATTTTTGAGCGTAAAATATGTAAAATGTAAATGAACATACCTTCGTACCCTTCTTCAGTAAACAGGAAATATACTTTAACGTTTCCGAGTCGCTTCAGATTCTATCGCATTCCCATTAAGCACCGCGCTCCCATTGTTTTCCACTGATCTCTATTCCCAACTAAAGCGACGAGGGACGAGGCAGATACGTCACTACATCCGGGGCCAGGTGCGCGTATTTTCCGTATTTCACCCCTGCTAGTGACATACGAAGTTCTGAAAATTTCCCGCCATTATCATTGTTGTTGTTTTGAAAATACAAATGGTCTTTGGTTCGTATATAAAACGAAATTAACGTTGGAAATAAAACGAAAACATTTAAAAGACATCGTGAGATAAGTAAAATTTATTCTAGTTTTATGTTTGCACTATATAATTTTAAAAAATATCGCTTTTATACTAGTCTTTCGCGTGCTTATTTACATGTCGTCTTTGTGTGTCTTTTTGTCACTTTGAGTAAGTCCATATAATAAACAGAACATTAAACGGTTGCGAGAAGATATGGATTTATGTTCTCGTGTTCTCGTGCCACTCGAACATAAAATCCATATCTCTTCGTAACCGTCTAATATCCTATATTTATTATATAGTAGAGAGTGATATACTGAAAAATACACAGTGTGAGATATTTTCCATATTTTCGCTAGTGAAGATATCGATCACATGACTGTTAGTATTTATACAATTTTTTTCTTGGGACTATAAAATTACCAGAACATTACACGTTGACTTTAAGATATGACTTTTATCTTCTCTTGTTAAAAACAATATTTTACTCACTCGCTTCTCTCGTTCGTAAAATATTGTTTTCACCACTCGAAGATAAAAAGTCATATCTTCGCGCCGCCGTATAATATCCTCTATGTATAAGCCCACAGGATGACGAGTTTGACAAAGTTTACTGTCAAAAGCATGTGTAAGAAAGGGTTGGCGTTTTCCTCACATAAGCCGCCAAATTGCTCGTTTAAAACGTACGCCTTTTGAGTTCATGGGTGAGAAATTTGTTATGTGTTTTATCAATGTTCCAAATATTAGAAAATTTACTCAAATTTAAGTCCTTTAAACACACTCTTAGAAATAAGTGTAACATACTTATTTTGTCCAGAAATTAACACGGGTTATATAACACACTAGTCTACATGTGTTAGATAACACACCCTAGGATGTGTTTTTGGCGCGCTTGTCCAAAAATTAACACATGGCCAGAAATTCGAGACATGCGCCTGCCTTGTACAGCGGCTACTTGAGGGGTACTTGGTTTAACTAATTTAAATAAACTCTAATTTAAGCAAAGCGAAGCCAGACAGAAAGATTGCTCAAATTATTCAATTAATTCAAATGATATTGTTTTAAAATAGTATTTTTACACGTAGTTATATAGTTCGCATATTCACTGAAACATTTATTCAAGCTATGGCTCTCATTCGTGCGTAAATTACAACAAAGATATGATAAAAATCTTATGTTTCTTCAGTAGTATTTACATTGCGCAAAATAGCATTGTAATTTGATCTAATGCGCTTAGTAAGTAGGGAGATCGGGATACTTTGCCATATATTTGGTCAAATACAGCGCATTCTCCCCTCTGGATACACAAATTTCCCCTCCTGTCCTTCCGTATTAAAAAGCCTGGTTCCTGAGCTTCTTGTTGATACCAAAATGGCGCAATATATTCAAAAGAAAACATGGCTCGGACAGTCGGACGCTTTTTTTAATCAGACATCGATATAAACCTATATTCGCGTATATTGCGTCGTGTCTATAACTATAAGTTAATTTTCGGGGTTTTCCGCACGTTTATGGGAACCCATA